ACACACACACACACACACACACACACACACACACACACACTTCTGGCTCTCCGAGGACTCATTTGACTCCTAAAACCCATTTTCAAACAGCCCTGTACAAAAAGTCCTCACAGTGCTCTGATGTCCCCATAATGCATAAACGTCAACACAGTTCATAGTTCGCACTGATCCACTCACACTCGTGCTTGTCTTTCTATCTTTGTGGGGACCAGACGTTCGTGTTTCACCAGTGGGAAAAGGACATTTACTTTCTTTCAAATACTTCCACTCTACGCGCTTTAATGTAACCTGTGAGGAAGTACTTTTACATCATGTACTTCAGGTAAACTTTATAAGTACTTTTATTAGGCAGGATCCCGTCACACCATCACGAGGGCCAAAACAAGCAGCTCCTCCCTCGAGGGCTCGGTGCTGATATCAGATGGCGTGAGGCGGCGGGGAGGGAAAGCCGAAGCGTTTTTCTGTTTAGTCTGGATGACACGAGATCTGTCGGAGTCATCTGAGGCAGCAGGCGGACAGGAAGTGAGACACCGCTCGCTGCCGGGGCCGTGGCGTGAGAGACAGGCTTCAGTGTGGAGGCGTAACGTACAAAAACACAGTTCAGTGTTTTCCATACGGAGACTCCCTCATTGAAAATAAAGATGGAGGCGGCGTCGGAGGCTTTTCACAGCATCCCCTTGATTTACGTTTTTATCAGCAGACCAAAGTTCCCAGTAATCGGGAGGCATACGTGTTCACGTGTTAAAGGACAGGAAGTCCTTAAAACTGGACAGGAAGCACTGGATCAGACTCACACTCCTTTCCTTGGATATCATGTACAAAACCTTCAGCTCTAAGCCTTATCCCAGGTCATTTCACACATCCTCTCATACTCGCCTCGTTTTCAGTAGATAAACTTGTTACGCCTTTATCTGATCCAGCAGGTAGACCAGCCCGTTTTGAGGTTTCGTGCAGCCCCTCAGTCCCGCCCTGTAGGTGTGAAGGTGGGGGAGGAGCTGACGCCAAAACTGCTCCAATCGGATCACCTGATGAGGATGGAAAATGATGTCATGGAGCCAAAGAGGAAGAGGAGCTTTCCCATCAACAACGTCCCGCTGGACCGCCTGTCCATCAGCTCCATGGAAACGAAGCAGCAAGGGTCAGACAAGCAGAGGTGAGAATACCTGTGAGAATACCTGAGAACACCTGAGACGCAGGGATGAGTCTAACGCCTCCATGTTCTTCTGTCTGCAGTAAGGTGGTGGAGTCGCCACGGCGACGACTCAATCCACCGCCCATTGACAGAATCGGGATGGGTCGTCTGCCAAACGGCAGAGGGTAGGCCACACCCCCTCCGTCTGAAAGTCCAATCTCTCCCCACAGCGCTCTCACTGGACAGGTGCAGAACTGCATGTGACTTATTTTCATAAAAGCATCAGTAAAAAACACTAAAATGGTCATTTATCTCTACAGATGCATGAAACTGCCAATCACCTGCTGAACCACGCCCACCTGACACCCTCACTTCACCTGGACACGCCCACCTGACACCCTCACTTCACCTGGACAGCCCAACACAAAGCATGACTGTTCAATGATGGTGCGTTCAAATGCAGCTCCGTAAAGTCGGCACACATAGAGAGGAAGTGATTTCAACGACACCTGCGATTTGCTTCCATGGCAACTCGTTTTAACGAGCATTTTATTTACCTGTAAAACTTACAGGTAAATAAAACTTTTCTTTTTAAAAATACTGAATTTAATCAAGGTGAAATGTAATGTAATGTGAGCAAATCTCGAATTAGCAGCACCAACAAATATCTTGACGTGTGAGATTAAATATACTTATTAGTTTCCACCAATGAGAAGCTTTGATTTCAGATTTATTAAGAAATATATAAATAAACTTCAAAATTTGTATTTGGATAAAATCAGAGCCTGATCTCAGAAAGATCAAATCATCAGACTCGAACAACTTTGAGTATAATAAGAATAATTTGGATGTTTTGAGTTTTTTCATTTATAAATTTTTCCATCTTTTTGATTCTTTGCATTTAATATATAATTTTAAAAAATTAAAGGTTAGAGTTTGAACATTTTAACCTCATTAGGATTAGCGTTAGGGAACGATAATGCTGCAGTTTTCCGAGTGTCACCTGAATGCACCATCGCCGGCTCCTCCTGCTGTTGGGACCCTGACTGGAGGCGTTGTTGCCTTGACTGCCCTCGCAATCGTCCAACACCAATCGAGTTTCGTCCTCGCACGTTTGTCTCAGAGTTGTGCAGCAGGACTGTTTCCACAGCAACGGCACATTTCTACTGCGACCGTAAACCGTGGACAAAGCTACTGTTACGTCATCTCAAAGTCATGAGATTAGCATTTTCATCATCAACACCTTAGTCGCAAAGCAGACTTCCTGTTCAATATGACCCAAGATGAGTGACTGAGTCCATCAGCAGCAAAGTGTTTACAGAGGTCAGAGGTCAAGCTTCTACAGCACTGGAAGTCTTTTTGCAACTGCAGCAGTCGCCACCTGGTGGCTTTTTGATAGAATGCAGATTTAACTCTCCTGGATTAGCTTTATTTTCCTCACCAGGAAACTACGTCCATGTTTTATACCATCTATGACTGTAACACATCTAAAGTTTGTAAACTTGAAATGAGAAAAAATAAAACAGTCCAAAAACAGGTTTAAGCATCTGAGTGGCGCTGCAGTGGAAACCGTCCTGCTCACTGATTCTGTTCTGATGTGCTTCTTCCTGCCCGAGTTTAACTGTGCTTAATAAAAAGAAAATGACAATGAAGTTCTGAGTGTGACTGATTTCTTCTCTTTTTCAACCCCTTGAGGATTTTAGATCATGTGCTAAAAGCTACAGTTCCACTAATGTCCACTAGAGGCTCCACCAGTAAGTCCCTCCCCATGCTCCCAGAAATAAACATGCGTACAACCAGGTGAGTTTTTGTTGAGTCTTTATTAAGAAAAGATCATGTGATCCAGAACAGTGCACACAGAACGGCTGGTTCACACAGTCCACGGATGATCCGGATCAATCAGAGTCCCGGCATTTCCTGTGTGAACTCATCCACCGAGGACTTCTGTACAGCTGCTATGGGAGCAGAGAAGGGCGATAATGGACCAGACTATCAGCAAAATACAAACACCTTCACATTCAGAGACGGAGAGCGCAGACGAGACTTCACCCTCAAATCCAAACCAGAGAACTTGAATGTACTCTGGACAAGAAACTCCAAAATGATCCCCTGATTACACAACACGTTCATCTTTAACCCAGCAACTCTGTCAGTATGGCAGTTTACAAAATATATCTATATAAAAAAAGAAAGAAAGAAAGAAAGAAAGAAAGAAAGAAAACAAGCTAACTACTAATACAAGCTAATACCACAGAGCAATTTAGTCTTTAAATGTAGGCAAATGGCTTGAAGCTTACATAAAAATACAGATGTTTAGGACAATAGCTAATGTTAGCTCACAGCTAACATTAGCTATTGTTAAGAACACAGCCGGTTAAATCAGATGACATTATGCTAATGTGAGCCAAAAATGCGCAAATGCTTAAAATCAACATTTTATCTGCAATGCTACCTGCAAAAATCAGTGCCTTTGTTAAATTAGCTTTACCTAAGGTCAGTGTTATCATGCTAACTTCCAAAACTGGGCTAAGAGATAAATATAAATAAAATTAGCTTCACCTCCAAACCAGCTAAGGTAATAACAGTGTAATTTGCTGACAGCTAAAAATAGCTGTCACCTTTAAGGTGAAGCTAACATTAGCTAATATGATAGCATTTGTTTAATTAATTTGTTTTTTCTGATATAGCTCAATGCTAGCTACCAAAACAGCCAGTTAACAAAGCTAAAATGGCTTTGATGTTAGTTTCACTTTGAAGCCGTCACAGTTATCTATGTTAACCATTCCTTAGAACTATTATGGTCTATAGCATTAGCTTAAATTACTGATGTCTGCATTATTAAGGTTTACTTTAAAACATGTGATCACTAACCCAATGAACCGTGCATCACCAGGAATTAAAAGGTGAACAACGATGTTCTACTTAAAAGAACACAAGAAAGTAAAGTGACAGGGCTGATAATAATATGTGGCCATAGTTCAATATTCACTGTTAACATATAGATAAACATGAATGTTAGCTTAGAAGGCTAACAGACCTTAATAGTTTTGACATAAGGCTAACATAGCTAGCTAATATAAGCTATTGCTGCACTTTTTTTAAAGACAAAGCTAATGTAGATTGCTAACAATAACATCATAATTTTTGTTATGCTAGCTTTAAAGCCAACTCACTCTGAGCCGAGGTAAAGCTAAAACAGTAAGCTATTTTTACAGATTTTATTAGCTCCGTAGCATAGCAAATGTAGATGACTGCTAACATGACTCAGCTTTTGATACGACATCATCATAAATAACAGCTTCATCTTAAAGAAATACAAACACTCGCTAACATTTTAGACTTCGAGATAAAAATGCTGCCAATAATAAACAAAAAACCAGAGAAAAGAAAATACTATGTGATGCCAGTATTTGTTAACACTGCGACTATCGCTGATTTTCAGGTCAAGCTAATCAAGCTAACTGCTAACACAAGTTGAACAATAAAGCAAATAATTAAACTGTTAGCATTAGGAAACGTTATTTTTGGATCATTTTGGAGTATTTCATGCGTTTTGTTCAGAGGACAGACAAGTTTACAGCAGATAACACATTTGGACTGAAGCGGTCTGACAACAGCCCCTTTTTTCAGTAAGGCAGAGCTGGACCTGAGGAGGGCAAAGCTGCGGGTTTGTTCAGAAACAAAACAATAAAAAGTAAAAACGATAAATCCTACTGAGTTTAGAGCAGAAAAAAAATTAATCAGAGCGGCATTCGATTGCCTTCCACGCTGATTTTAACAGCGTGACCCGTCTTCGTCAGGCGCCGGATGTCAGCAAATCTACGCATCTGTTTATCAACACGGGACAAACTCTTCCTCACCGGACCCTGGAGGCAGACAGACACACAGAACAGGAAGTTACAGGATTTACATCTTGTAACCACACACCGAGGTAACAACACAAAGAGTTTCGCACACTTCACTGCTCATGCAGGAAGATGTTTCACAGACACCTTGTTCAGAGCCATCAGATGGGAAGAGACTGTTCCTAAAGACCATTTACAGTTCAAAATAAGCTTTATTTGTCTCATTCTGGCCCCTCGCTCTGTGTGAAACAAGCTGCTTTAACTCCTCCCTGAACATCTATTTGCTTCTGATTGGACAGCTTCTGGAAGCCTGCTGCTGGACGTGTGGCTGATTCCATATCAACGTGAAAACATTTCTTCCTCCGTGTCAGCTGACTCATTTCTACAGTAAATGTATTTTATTTAATGAAGCCATGCAAATTACAGGTACACTGTCCCACACACTGCACACCCTCTCACCTGTGGAACGTTACTTCCAGTCTCAGTGATTATCTCTCTCTAGTGCATGAGTTTGGTGTTTATTAGGCTCAGAGGTGCTTGACGGCTGCAGCAGAGATGTTCATGTGTTCATACAGCAGGAAGGAAAATGATTCAACCCCGGGCGCTGCGTATGAGGTCACATGACCTCTGAGTACATTAGTTTGTTAAAGTTAAGGTTTTGGCCGTTGGTTATGACACGATCAGGTTTATCAGTGATTGGTCTGACGTTAGAGGTCTGAATGACTGAAGTGTGATCGATCGTGTGCTCTTCGCTGTGTTCAGTGAACTCTGTTTGGGGGTTGGATAACTTTGCCTCCACTGTACGTCTGCACACTGCAGGTGAGTCAGGCTCTTCACACCATGCAGACAGACTTACTGCCCCCTGCAGGGGAGCAGGGGAGCTACAGGGGCATTCTGTTTCCCTCTATGCTGATCTTCACAGCTCCCTGCGGCCGCCCCAATTTTCTCTGCTCGGCGAAACGCCGTTTGTGCTTCTCCAGCAGGCTGATGGCCTTCTTACAGCCGCTCTGCAGAGGACCAATCACAGCTCAGCTCCTGACCTGACAGCAGGTAAACTCCTTGTTCAGAGCTTTACAATCAAATAGAAGCAGAAAATAACCTGATGTCTGTTCCAGCACAAGAGTGTGGAAGTGTTTGTTTCAACTTTATTCAAACTTCAGAAATCTGACTGTTTATATAAAAGTTCTTTATTGTTATTTAGATTGTTTTTTCTTTAAAAATGCGTTCGCTCTTAGAGGTTTAAAATATATTTGTTTAATTTTGGAATTTTGTATTTGTTATTGATTTTGTAAATTGTGAGTAAATCATTTGTTTGACTCAATTACGAAAAAACTGAAACCAAAT